ATATCTATATATCTATATATATATATATCTATATATCTATATATATCTACATCTGTGTTTTTGTTATCCAGTAAAACTATTTTGGCAAAACGTACAGTTTATGTGGCAAGTATTGCTTATTTTAGGTATTGTTTTTTTTTTGTTTTAGTAGAGGTTTTACCGCCCTCGCAACTGCATAAGGTCATATGAGCACCAGAAGATTAGAGGTGTTACAAGAGAGTAACAAACATAAAAAAGAAGGAGGGGGAGATCAGGACGATAGATGTTTGATAGGAAAGAAAAAGCAAGCCACACCAGAGCACCCGCCAACCACCCACTTTTTTTAGTTATGAAAAAGTACCATTCTCCAGGGTCTGTGTACACATGGCACGGCTCTATGACATTGACAGGACGCGACAGGTATCTTCGGTTTAGTTTTAGGTTTAGTCAGAGTTTTACGGCACTTGCAACACAATAAGGTCATATAAGTGCCGAAGATCAGAGGTGTTACAAGAGAGTAGCAAACATAAAAAAAATGAAAAAAGAAGGAGGAGAGATAGATTTCTTATAGGAAAGAAGGAGCAAACTACACCAGAGCACCCGCCAACCACCCACTCTTCGATTTTTTCGTGCTGCTTGTTTGTTGGTTTGGTAAGAGTTTTACGGCACTTGCAATTGCATAAGGTCATATGAGTGCGCGGGACATAGATGTACATTAGTTGTTTTCAGTTTTGGTGAAGTTTTCAGTGTTGAATTTTGCCCGTGTGATAGCCTACTCTTGTCGATTTTAGGACCACAAAGGGATCTTTAACGTGTGCAACTTGCGCACGGGACCTCCGAGATTTTTTCGCCATTATCCGAGACGGTTAGGTGTTCCATCTTACCTACAATAAGATCAGGGGTGTGTCTGAAAGACAGCAAGTAAGAAGGAGCCAAGGAGTAGCAGTAGAAAGACAACAGTAAGATGGAGCCAAGGAGTAGCAGTAGATAGGCTGCAGTAAGATGGAGCCAAGGAGTAGCAGTAGATAGGCTGCAGTAAGAGGAGCCTAGGAGTAGCAGTAGATAGGCTGCAGTAAGAAGGAGCCTAGGAGTAGCAGTAGATAGGCTGCAGTAAGAAGGAGCCTAGGAGTAGCAGTAGATAGGCTGCAGTAAGAGGAGCCTAGGAGTAGCAGTAGATAGGCTGCAGTAAGAAGGAGCCTA